TGCCAGCAAGCTCAGTGCTGGATCGGAGAGGAGTCAGCGCTGGATTGGAGACCCGCAGTAGTGCTGGAGGGACAGATGAAAACGACAGGAAAGAAGAAGAAGATCGGATTAGGAGACATCAATTAGGGTAAGTGCTTACACTAATATTGGGGGGAGGGGGAAAACAATTATACTTTAATGTCATTTTAATAACTGGACCTTGCATGACAGTGCAGCAGGTGCGTTGCATTGCTATTTCACATCAGAGGCCCCCCTCCTATACACCGTCACATCAGAAGCCCCTCCCCTTCACATTCGATGCCTCCTCTTTCAGGCCCCCTTCACATCAGCAGCCCCTTTCAGGTCAGAAGCCCCCCTTTCATGTCAGAAGCCCCTCCTTTCACATCATAGACCCCCCTTCACATCAGGAGCCCCTTTCACGTCAGAAGTCCCTCCTTTCACATCATAGCTCCCCTTCACATCAGGAGCCCCTTTCATGTCAGAAGCCCCTCCTTTCACATCATAGCCTCCCTTCACATCAGAAGCCCCTTTCACGTCAGAAGCCCCTCCTTTCCCATCATAGCCCCCCTTCACATCAGAAGCCCCTTTCAAGTCAGAAGCCCCTCCTTTCACATCATGAGCCCCTTTCACGTCAGAAGCCCCTCCTTTCACATCATAGCCCCCTTCACATCAGAAGCCCCTTTCATGTCAGAAGCCCCTTTCATGCCAGAAGCCCCTCCTTTCACATCATAGCCTCCCTTCACATCAGAAGCCCCTTTCATGTCAGAAGCCCCTCCTTTCACATCATAGCCTCCCTACACATCAGAAGCCCCTTTCACGTCAGAAGCCCCTCCTTCACATCAGAAGCCCCCCCTTCACATCAGAAGCCCCTTTCATGTCAGAAGCCCCTTTCATGCCAGAAGCCCCTCCTTTCACATCATAGCCTCCCGTCACATCAGGAGCCCCTTTCATGTCAGAAACCCCTCCTTTCACATCATAGCCTCCCGTCACATCAGAAGCCCCTTTCATGTCAGAAGCTCCTTTCACATCATAGCCTCCCGTCACATCAGGAGCCCCTTTCATGTCAGAAGCTCCTTTCACATCATAGCCTCCCGTCACATCAGGAGCCCCTTTCATGTCAGAAGCTCCTTTCACATCATAGCCTCCCGTCACATCAGGAGCCCCTTTCATGTCAGAAGCTCCTTTCACATCATAGCCTCCCGTCACATCAGGAGCCCCTTTCATGTCAGAAGCTCCTTTCACATCATAGCCTCCCGTCACATCAGGAGCCCCTTTCATGTCAGAAGCTCCTTTCACATCATAGCCTCCCGTCACATCAGGAGCCCCTTTCATGTCAGAAGCTCCTTTCACATCATAGCCTCCCGTCACATCAGGAGCCCCTTTCATGTCAGAAGCTCCTTTCACATCATAGCCTCCCGTCACATCAGGAGCCCCTTTCATGTCAGAAGCTCCTTTCACATCATAGCCTCCCGTCACATCAGGAGCCCCTTTCATGTCAGAAGCTCCTTTCACATCATAGCCTCCCGTCACATCAGGAGCCCCTTTCATGTCAGAAGCTCCTTTCACATCATAGCCTCCCGTCACATCAGGAGCCCCTTTCATGTCAGAAGCTCCTTTCACATCATAGCCTCCCGTCACATCAGGAGCCCCTTTCATGTCAGAAGCTCCTTTCACATCATAGCCTCCCGTCACATCAGGAGCCCCTTTCATGTCAGAAGCTCCTTTCACATCATAGCCTCCCGTCACATCAGGAGCCCCTTTCATGTCAGAAGCTCCTTTCACATCATAGCCTCCCGTCACATCAGGAGCCCCTTTCATGTCAGAAGCTCCTTTCACATCATAGCCTCCCGTCACATCAGGAGCCCCTTTCATGTCAGAAGCTCCTTTCACATCATAGCCTCCCGTCACATCAGGAGCCCCTTTCATGTCAGAAGCTCCTTTCACATCATAGCCTCCCGTCACATCAGGAGCCCCTTTCATGTCAGAAGCTCCTTTCACATCATAGCCTCCCGTCACATCAGGAGCCCCTTTCATGTCAGAAGCTCCTTTCACATCATAGCCTCCCGTCACATCAGGAGCCCCTTTCATGTCAGAAGCTCCTTTCACATCATAGCCTCCCGTCACATCAGGAGCCCCTTTCATGTCAGAAGCTCCTTTCACATCATAGCCTCCCGTCACATCAGGAGCCCCTTTCATGTCAGAAGCTCCTTTCACATCATAGCCTCCCGTCACATCAGGAGCCCCTTTCATGTCAGAAGCTCCTTTCACATCATAGCCTCCCGTCACATCAGGAGCCCCTTTCATGTCAGAAGCTCCTTTCACATCATAGCCTCCCGTCACATCAGGAGCCCCTTTCATGTCAGAAGCTCCTTTCACATCATAGCCTCCCGTCACATCAGGAGCCCCTTTCATGTCAGAAGCCCCTCCTTTCACATCATAGCAAAAATGTAGAGGCACTCTTGACAACACCAGAAGGCACTGCATGGTACCATGGCACCTTGGTTGAGAAAGGCTGAGCTACAGAACCACAAACTGGGGGCATTATCAAAACTGGAGCAGTCAGAATCTGGAGCAGTTGCCCATGGCAACCAATCAGTTTCTCTCTTTCCTTTTAAAAGTTTAACTCAACAACCTAAAGAGAAAGCTGATTTGTTACTATAGGCAGCTGCTCCAGATTCTGTCTGCTCCCTTTTGTTTACCTATTCATGTTTCACAGGTGATAATAAATTCCTAGCTGGTGACAGAACTGCCAGCTGTGACTGCTGAACATACAAGAGCTTTCACAGTATTTCCTTCTAAGCTGAGGGCAGGATGCAGTGTGTACACTCTGCAAGGATCTTTTCCCCTTTTCTATAGAAAACTCAGGAACTGGAGCACTTTTAACTCCTGCTCGATCATATTAATTTAAAAGCAAACCTTACAAGCAACAAAATATTAATAACTAGGAGTCCAGACTGATGACAATATGCAGGAAATGTCCTGGGTGTCATTAAAGAGTACAGATTACAAAGATCAGCCGAGAAGTAAAACTTACTGCATAGATACTAGATGAATAGATGTAAAATGTCCTTCCTGAAAAGTCAAGTGACATAAAAATGATTAAGGGCTCACTCATCCCAACTGGCACACAGTATGCTCTGTAGAAAACGTGCGTCTGCTTATGTGCGTTGTGCAGGGGAGATGCTATACATTTTAATAACTATTGTTAACCATTTTTATAAATATAATGAAATGTTACCAAATTACATTTTATTCATTTCTATACACAGCAGAACATTGCAGTGGTGCAGTGTGTCGCAACACGTTGAGTAAAAATGCAGCATGTCCTACTTTTTGTTAGTGCACATGCAAATGACCTTGTCTATGCATTGAGAATGCATTGGACAAAGCTGCCAAATGCAGCCCAACGCATATGATATAAATGGGCCCTAAAGCTGGTAGATTTTCATACAAACGTTTTTAAGAAAAATCTCATCAAAACATTCGATAATGTCATCAGAGACTTGTAGAATGTCGTTCGAAATGTCATTTGATTGGAAAATTCGATTTTGGAAATGAATGGAGTTTCCCGAACGAAAACCAAATTCGCTGTTAGAATATTGTTCCTTTGAGAAAAATTTTCCATCCTGCTCATTTGATTTTTTGTCATCACTACGCTCAAAAACGGTCATTAATTTGGCCCCCATTAAGTAGTTAAAAAATAGAAAGAACCTTCTTGAAAATAAATTTGTCAGAGCAAAATTGTCCTGGTGTATGGCCAGCTTGAGGGACCATTCACACCAATTGCGGTGTGTTCCAGAGCAGCAGCTGCTGGAAAGCACAACAATCGCTCACAAAACTTCCCCCTTCGTTCTGGGGCAGGAGGGGGCATGGCGGTGCATTAAAGTCAAAGGCACCGCAGCCATGCCCCCCGGACGCCCCATCGGACACGTGGCAAAACATTGCCTGCATACCGGTCCACTGCAAACGCAAAAAATGCTGCATGCTTTATTTTTTGCGTTTGCAGTGGACTGGAACACTGGACTGGAACACTGGCAAATGTTTTGCCATGCATCCGATCGCACTGCGGGCGGGGGGGAGCGTGGCTGCGGTGCCATTGACATCAATGCACTGCCATGCCCCCTCCCGCCCCAGAACCCCAGGGAAGTTTTGTGAGTGATTGCTGTGTGTTCCACTGTTGCTGTGCCGCTCTGGAACGCACCGCAATTGGTGTTAATGGGCCCTGAGGCTAGGTTCACACCTGGACGATCCGTGATCACGCAGCAATCGTGCACGAAACCGCACGGATTGCAGGGCTGTCATAGAGTCGCCCACCGCAGCCGATTGCGCTAGGGGTGCCATTATTATCTAATGGCACCCAGTCGCGCCGGGCGGATTACTCAGTTTCCCGCTGCAATTCCGCCCCTGCAATGGAACACGCTAAAAAAGCTGTGCTTCGTGTGTTGCAAAAAAAGGTACCTGTACCTTTTTTACGCGATTGCTGCGCGGATGTAGCCGCGCGGCAACCTCTGTGTGCACTCGTACACAATCGGGCAGTCCCAGGACACGCATCCCGGGATCGCTAAGATCTGAACCTAGCCTAAGACAGAAGAAAGCAATTTTAGTCTTTAGGTCTGCATGGCAGTCATTTGAACAATGAATAAATATCAGATTTTGTTGTATCAGTAAAAGGTGCGTCAGTATGTGGCTACTTTTAATGGCGGTGTTGTAACTTTTTTGTCTGGTGTACATTACAAGGATTTATTTTTTATTATGCAGAAATCACAATAAAGGGAAAAAAAGACTTTAAAAATGAACCTTTAGAGTTTCATCAAAAGAAAAATACAGTCTGACTAGGACGGTTTATTCAAGGTGTGGTCTATTCTGTGTTACTTTACAATGAATGAAGTCTGTCCCCTTCCCCGTGAATCTCCACCCTGTAAGTAGAGTGAATAGAGTAGGCAGGATCAGTTGGAGGGAGGAGAGCACTGTCACTGCCCCCTACTCACTATAAATTCCCAGCTCCGAGAACCTCTGAGTAGCCAGCAGCTCTGTGCCAGTGGTCTGTGTACACCTTTATCCACATTTAAACTGCAACCATGAGTTTCTCCAATGCTTCCTATGCCTCCCTTAGATCCAATCGCCCCTTTGCCTATGGCCCTCAGATGGTAGGTGGTTCCAGTGCTGCCAGTGTTCATGCTGGAGCAGGGGGCTCAGGCTCCCGGATCTCTGTGTCCAGGGGGGCTACAGTGGGCTCTGGATTCGGTGGTGGCTCTGGATTCAGTGGTGGCTCTGGTGCAGTATCATCTGGAATGGGCCTCCTCGGAGGTGTTCAGAATGAGAAGGAGACCATGCAAGACCTGAACGACCGACTGGCATCCTACTTGGAAAGGGTACGCAGCCTGGAATCAGTCAATCAAAAGCTGGAGCTGCAGATTCGCCAGCATATGGAAAAGAAAGGACCCACCAAGGACTGGGCTCCATACTTCAAAACTCTGGAGGAACTGCGGAAACAGGTGAGCAGCCCCTTAGTAATAAATATGTTATCCATTTCGCTTTATTGAATATTTATAGATAAATATATAAACTAAGGAAATGTAAATGTTTGAATTAAAAGGGAATAATTGATACATTTATTTTAAAATCACAATTATTTGTAAACATCTATGTACCAATGATTATTATTATTATTATATGCTATCAAGTATATTAAATAAGGTAAGGAGCAAGCTGGCAAGTAACTTGTATCAAGTAACCACTAGCTGGTTTGTTCTGATTGCATTACTCTGATAAAAGGTAACATCAAATTGGTTGCTGTGGATTATGGCACATTATTGCTTTTTGCGCTGATTTGTTAAAATAATGAGTTAAAGAAGTTATATACACTTGCTGTACAAGTTTACATAGATGCTGAAAGTTAATGCAACTGGTACATCATTTTGGGGTTTTTTTGGCACTGGTAACTGCATTTTTGTGGCTGAAACGACTTTTGTGCACAGACCTTCTCACTGGTTTATCTCATTCATACTGTGTGCCTTAGATGGGATATAACCAGTGTAACTGGAGTGCAGAAAATTCATAGGCAGTACCAGAAGAGTTAAAGCTACAAAAGGGGTGAGGGCATGATGGAGTTAAGCGGATTCTCTTCCTGGCAGCCCTGTGGAGCTGCAAACAAATCATTAGTGAAATACAGAACAGTACTCAAAGGATTTACGTCTGCAAAATACTTTAGGTTGTCTTGTAGAGCCTTTGTGTTCTAATTCCCTGACAATCGGTAATAGGTTATAACTGTGATATGTACTTGGTAGTTTATATAACAGACAGACAAGCTATTGTGTTCCACAGCTGTGGGACTACACGCCCCAGCAAACCTGCAGTGTGGTAGTACTACAACAATGATGCAAATATTTGTCAAGCTTGGACAAAATGTTATCATTCTTGGATAGGAGAAGTCATTGGGACTTCACAGCATACAGGATATTATAGTATTCCATGGAGGCTATTGATGTTTTACATTACAATTTACAAAACTAAAGCACATTTAGGATTATTTCATGAGCAAAGAGCAATAGGCACCCACAGCAACCAATCAAAACCATCTTTTTTCTACTCTGGCATGTGCTTACCGAATTCTCACTTGTCGTAAATTTGTGCCATGCATTGCTTAATGATAATAGTTATAATAGCAATCAATTAAGTAATAATAATGGCACTGAAATACAATGTACATCTGTGTGTATTTAGTACTAATCAGTCCATTTTATCTTTTAGGTATTTGATAGAACTCTGGACAACTCTCAGCTAGTCCTGCAGATTGACAATGCCCGCCTTGCTGCTGACGACTTCAGAGTAAAGTAAGTCTTCCGTTCTCTCTGAAGCTGAACATAGACGAGAAAGCTATCCCTTCCTGTATATAATTACACTCCCTAGCTTACAGGAATGATTTGTTAATATGTCACTGGTAAATTGGGCCATGCCAAGCCAGCATGAAATGTGCAGTCACAGCTGTGCAAAATTCCATCCGCTGTCAAAATAGAAAAGCAACAGGAGAATTTGAGGGAAATTTGACCTATGACCTGATCTCCTACTTTATTTTAACTCCAGGTATGAATCCGAGTATGCTATCCGCCTGTCTGTGGAGACCGATATCGGTGGATTGCGCAAAGTCATCGACGACACCAACATCTCCAGACTCAACTTGGAGAACGAGATCGAGTCCCTGAAGGAAGAACTGATCTTCCTTAAGAAGTCCCATGAAGATGTAAGTAAAGTTAAAAGATTAAAGGGGGATACATGTTGAATATTAAATTAAAAGGTGTCGCTAAACTTAAAGTTAACCATACAACAAGGGTACTAATATGTAAATGTATATTTATAATATGCAGATTTCCATTTTACACTCTCTGGGCCACTTTTCGGCAGCTTGTAGAAGGGAGGATATGCCCATCCTTTAATGCAATGGCCTACTACAATTCTTGCCTAATGGTGACAAGGAGTGCCTATATATAGCAGATCAGACTGATTGTAGGGAGGTTTTCAAACAGGATGGCTTGTCAATCCGCACCTGGCCACGCCTCTGTTGCAGCAACCTTCCCACTGTGAGCTGCAGTGTCCAGGAGGGGGAGCATGTGAAACACAAATTTAGGGGAATTTGGTTCACTCATATAGGAGCTTTTAGTTGTACTTACGTTTTTTTTCTCTGAACATTTGTATAAGAATTTTGATTAAAAACACGGCAGTTTATTGCTGACCCTGAAGTCATGCTACCCTATGCTCTGACCTAACTTGGTTTTCCATAAATGCAGGTCATCATAAGATCGTCTTTGTTATCAATAATGTGAATAATGGATTTACACAGATATGACCATCACATGTATGGCCAATTATGCTAACAACCCTGCAGTTTGGCACCTTACACATACTTAAGGGTGCACACAAGTTAGAAACCAACCAATCTAATTAACCATTTGTTTTTTGTCTTTGAAGGAGGTCAATGAAGTCCATGCCCAAATTGCTTCCTCTTCATTAACAGTAGAGGTAGATGCTCCCAAAACTCAAGACCTGGGCAAAGTCATGTCAGAAATCCGGGCACAATATGACACCATGGCACAGAAGAACCGTGAAGACGCAGAAAAATGGTACCAGGCAAAGGTATGGAAGTATCCAAGAAAGAAATAAGAAAAGATACTCATATTACTAATTCATTTACATTACATAAAAAGAACATTCCGTTTTGTTCTGGAGTTGCAATCAAAGGCATGTAAAAAATGTTGAGTATTTAAATTGCAAAGCAATGTGATAGCCATCTGGCATTAGGTCTGGTAAAGTAGAATGGGTTTTCTCTCTACAGGTGGAGGAGCACACCATGCAGGTCTCGCAGGATACAGAGGCACTTCGTTCCTCAAAGACAACAGTGACAGAGCTGCGTCGCAGTCTGCAGTCTCTGGAGATTGAGCTGGAAACGCTACGCAATCAGGTAACGTGATGTGGAGTGCCAACAGTCTTGTCAACAATGTATAATGTGCTCTGACTAATTATGAGCACTTTCAATCCACAGAAACAAAGCCTTGAAGGTTCTCTCAATGACACAGAAAATCGGTATGCTATGGAACTGGAGATACTTAGTGCCCAACTTCAGGCACTTGAGGGAGAGCTAACACAAGTACGCAATGACTGCCAGAGGCAACAACACGACTACCAGATTCTGCTTAACGCCAAGATAAGGCTAGAATCCGAAATCCAGACATACAGACGTCTCCTCGATGGAGACGATTTTAGGTAAATGTTTGATTATTTTAATTTAAATTTCTAATTATTCTTAAAAGGCTTCTGATTTTGCACCATTTATATTCACAAAAGTTTCAAAACTTGGAAAAACCTGACCAGTGATATACCATATATTGAAAGTCGGATTACAATGGTGATCACAAAGTGATTCAATGATTTAGCTGTATGCCAGCTATCCGTGTAATAATTTAATTCAGTCCTCAAGTATCTCGATCTGGATATTCATGTTTCTCTTTTTAATAGCTAAATTAGATGAGCCAATGTGTGAGCTATACTAATTCTTTAGGATAGTTCCAGTTGATTAAATGTGACAAATCTGAACACATGACCGCTAGAGAATGATTGTGTTCTGGTCTGTTATCACTCAATTAAATGACTTTTTCCTTTCTTTGCAGCCTCCAAGACGCCCTGTCAGCATCAAATGTATCAACCACACAGACAGTTAAAAAAGTCATCACAACGACACAGAGAATTATAGACGGAAAAGTTGTTTCAGAAAGCAATGACACACATGTCCTGGAGTCCTAAATGACACCACTTTTGCCTGGAAAGGATTTTCATGCCCAATGCATTTCAATGAATAAAGAATCCAGGTTTTGCATATCTTTGTGTATTGTCCTCTTTCTTAAATAAGATTGAAGCATAAGATATGTTTGGGTCGTGAATTTGGGTATTATCATTGTCCTTTGAGTATGAACAGCTCAGACCGGCCAGAGCCAGATAGATTTTTCCTGAGAAAGAAGTTTGGGTAGATATTAGTACATATTCATATAATCCTACAAGTACCAGAACACACAGTAATCCTTGCCCAATCCTGACAACAATGCACATTGGTACTCTCCTCCATTCATCCATAAATTAGTGATCGATCGGAACTAACTTGTAGGGGAAAATCTCCCACTGCCATAACAAGCGCTTATAACTGGCCATACACTGTTCGAATTTCCCACACAAAATTTATGTGTGGCCCCAAGGGCACCCATCCATTCGACAAGTCATTTTTTTCAAAGGAGCTGGGCCAAAAAGTGACTGATGCCAATCAGCTGCAGTCAACAGCAGCACCCACAGCTGTCAGAATACTATAGGCCAGCGGGATGATTTTCCCCCATCCACACTGCTTAGCGTGCATAGAGGAACCAACAGTGTATGGCCAGCTTAAGGCACTCATTCTTGTAAGGTGAATTTCAGAAACTCCCCACAATTGCAACTGATCCTTGAAATCTGGAGCATCACTTGCTTTATTGATCTTTGATCAGCTAAAGTTTATATGCAGCATACATTCTCTGTAAATGAAGCATAGATGTATTAAACTTTAATCCTATTTTTTGTTCCACTCCTATTGGAGATCAGCTCAAATGTAAAAAAATGAAATGAGTGTAAAGGTGCCCATACACTGCTCGATTCTCGTACGAGAATCGCGGGGAAATCCCGCGATCGTACGAGAATCGAGCAGTGTGAACGAAGACGTGCGACCGTTTCTACTGTACGGTCGCACGTCTTTTGTCTAAGGAGCACGCTAGAAAACCAGCCGAAAATCGTACGATTTTCGGCTGGTTAGAACGGTGCTCGGGAGACAAATGCCGAACGGGCCGGTGTGCGCACGCGCACACTGCCCGTTCAGCATTGCGGTCATCGCAAGCCAGCCCCACATGGCCAGTCATATAGCCACTTTGTGACGGGACGTACACTGTACGTCTCCCGTCACGAAGGGGTTAAGTACTTTACAACCATCGCAAGACTAAGGTCTTGCGATGGTTATAAATTGTATGGCCACCTTTAGGAGGCAGAGCAGAGATGATTAACTCATCATTATATCTGAGATCCCTCAAATATGCAAATGAAACAGCGTCATAGAGGAAGCAAACCGCAGCACTCAGATAACACCGGATCTCATCCACCTTCAGTGAAATTGGACATGAAACTCTTCTTGAAACACTGTCATATTTAAGCTCGATTCACACTGGGGTGGCTGTCCACGCAAATTCAGCTATACGAGTACGCCCGAAGCTGCTCCAAACAGAAAAAACAATGCACTTTGATGTGCATTGTTCAGACTATTGCGGAGACGGCTATATAATGGCCGCAAACGAGTGGAATCCGTGCAGTTGATTCACATACAGCATTTGCGTCCCGTGCGGTGTTCCACACAGAAAACCACGTGGGAAGAGCAAACGCGATATGTGAATGGAGGCTTAGTGTATATAACCCAACAACAAAAATGTAATCTATTGTAGCTTAACCTCCCTGGCGGTATGATTATTCAGGATTTTAGCATCCCAAAGCGGTACATTGTTTTTCATGGAAATTTGTTGTTTTATATTGTAGGCCCGTAATTCTTAGTAAATCTTAGGAATAACTCACCTTTAATATGTCCAAACAAGAGTCCAGTAGACATCCAGGTATGATAAAGTTTGAAACACGAAATAAAAAAAATATAATATAATAAATTATATTATAAATAAAAAAAATTATAATATAATAATTAAAAAAATGGTCCAGTAAATGGGAATTCTGGGGGCGCAGCCTGATCCGTACCACAGTCAATAGAGTACCAAGTTCGCACATCACTGAGCTCGGTCGCAGAATCGTCCGGTAGAAAAGTACGGTACTGCATGCCGTACTTTTTTTAAGCACACACCACCAGAATGCAGTAAAGTCAACTGTCACCACCCATGACAAGGCAAATGGCCTTGTCTTGCGTTGAGGCTGCGCTGGAAAACCGGCCAGCACAGCCCGAATGCATATGGTGCAAATGAGCCCTTCCGATTTTTGTTGAAATTAATTGGATTTATGGAAGACTTGGCATTAACTTTTCTGGCTGCATACTTCATACAGGTCAGAGACTAAGAAAGCATTTAAGCAGTCTGGATCCGCATGGCAACCAAGCTACAAGCATTTTCATTACAACACCAGCAATACCTCTCATAGCACATTTCCTTGAAGGTCATCTTATTTTAGCCTATGTTAATACAAAACATGCTATACGAGTGCCATGGAGAACATGGAGCTAGCCAGGAACCTATGCTTAGCACCTCTATTAGACACAAGGCCAATGAATGAAGATGAGTGGACTTGGGTTTCTGAGGTTCGCTGTCTTGCTATGATGATTATTATGATTGTGAAAATGTTTAATCTCCATGTTTTTTTTAACAATGTGGAAATACAGCAAGAGACTCTACACTCTGTAAAGAGAATACAGTTGAAAACTGTGAAGATCTCCACTCAAAAGATACTGAGAATTTTAGGAATCCTGTGGATCAATCAGACCACCAATGTCCAGCCAAAACTGGAGACATTCTTACACATCTAAGCAATAGTAACTTGTCTATATGAACAACTACGTTGTATAAAGCAAATGTTTTCATGTGATATATATATATATATATATATATATATTATATACGC